CCGGCTCCCCGGTAAGAGAAATACATAGATCAGCAGAAATGGGTTAATAATTAAGGCAGAGCTAGCAGATAAGAAACAAGTAACCGGGCCAACAGTATTGTATCAAATACAGAGTCTCTGTGTGTTATTTGGGGCTGGCGCAGCGGCAGGACAAGACCGGGCGTCGGCGGGCAGAAAAACCAAACTCGTTACAAATGGCGCCCACATGGCTAGTAAGAACTTCCACTTAAAATTTAACAAAAGGTTAAAAAAGGGTTTTAGAAACAAAAGAACAGAGATAAGCAAGGTTTCTTGGTAACAGCATTTTTCTCGGTTGGACTCTGTTTTGCAAGAGACAAGCAGATATTTGCGCGGCTCCTTAAAGGGAAGGTTCCTGACTCAGCTTAAGCGGCAAAAAACCGCACAGCTTTTAAATAACTCTGCTAACAATTTATTGGTGTGTATGAGAGATGGCAATGGCAGTGACCACATCTCCAAGCCGGCAGCATGCTTTCTGGGTGGCAGCGCAGACCAAGGCGGTGAGCACAGCTTTCCGTGCTGGCGCTAAAAGTACCCGCCACCATCTTTGGTAAACCGCGGCTGACACAGCTATGACTTTCATTTTAGCAATGTTGTTGTTTACCAGATAAAAGACTTGTGGCCAGAAAAAGATAAAGATTTACAGTAGAGACAGATTCACATTAAGAAAAGGTGCTAAAAGTTTACAGTGTGTTTAAAAAAAAAAAAATACATAGGCTTGGGAGAGAAAAATAAAATGGTTTTAAATAGACAAAGAGGAACTGGGTGTGGTGGCACACGCCTTTAATCCCAGCACTCAGGAGACAGAGGCAAGCAGATCTCTGTGATTTCAAAGTAAACCTGGTATGCAGAGTGAATTCCAGGACAGATAAGAATTACACAGAGAAACCCTGTCTCAAAAAATAAAAAATAAAAAGTAAAAGAAACAGAGTAATAATAAAGCCACATAAAGATGAAAAGCTCAGAGAGAATCTGGTTACTGTATGCTATTGTGTTGTCTCTACATTGTTTGACTGCTGAGAAAATAACAACAACTGATAAAGGAAATGCTGCTGGATTAATTCAATTTATATATTTTAAAAATGCTTTGACTCCAACATTTAAGTTCAAGGACAAGTTACTGGGGAAAAGGATTTCTATTTTTGTTTCCACAGAAAATGAAAAGCTGTGGATTCCTTGCAGACTAATGTGGTTTGAGCAAGCCAGGCCCCCTGAAACAGTCGCTGGTGATCCTACATTCAAAACAGCTGGACAAAGCAGCCTTGCAGACTTACAGCCAGGATTTCTGCATCTTCTTAGGATCCCCATGACAGCTCCCCCTATCAGCAGGAAGTAGTTTGGAAAGAACGACGCCCAAATTCCCAAATATCGTTTATAAATGTTTGTTTCCATTTAAATGGATTTGCTTATAAATGGTTAATGATCACAGCCAATTCTTTTTAAAGGTAAAAAGGGAATTATGGTATAGATATGAATACTTTGTTTTGGAATGGATTTTCATTTATTGATACAATTTAAGGTCAATAAGGTGATATGTATATTTCTCCTCTTGTTTAGGTATTGTGTTTATTGAGCTCAGTTAGAAATGTAATGTATAATGTAGTACAGATTATAGATAGATTCCTATGATAGTTAGAACTTATAGTTAAGTTAGTTAGTATTTCTAGATATACAGACATATATTTGAGATGGATAGGCATTCTTCAAACCTTTCAAAGACCTACAGAATATGGCATTTAAAATGACTTAGGGTTTTACTTGACAATGAGACATAATTGCTCCTGGTAATACCACCCGCACCAGAAAGGAAGATGGACATCGAAGAAATGCATTATGAAGTTTGCTTCCAATATGGCAAGACTAGCCATTTGGACAAGATACTGCTCTTGTCTGGACTGTTTGACTTTATGCTGTATATACTGGACATGCAGGACCCACAGAAAAGTGACTGCTGATTCAAGATGGACATTGCTACAGAGTTCCTGCTTCATGGAAGAGTCTGCGAGACAGTATGCAGGACACAGAGAAAAGTGACTGACAAACTGCGAATACAAGAAGACAGTTTAAAGTTTCCTGCATTGCTGAAGAGTCTGCCAGACACACTATGGCCTATGGGCTGAAGATGGAAGATTACAAAAGAACTTCGGGTGACCACGCAGTGAGTTGTCTCTGTCATTTCTAGAGCTTATATATTTTCCTTCTGTGGTCTTTGAAGGAGTTGAAGACAGATGGTTATGGTTATAGTTTTCATTAGTTAGGATTAAAGATAAGTTACTTAGACTTTAGACACACAAAGATAGAATAGATGATGGAATATTTTCTTCAAATCTTGCTAAATGTTAATGGACTAAATACTGTTAAGTGTGATTCTTACTTGTTAACTGTTGTATAATATATTTTGCTATGTTAAGGTTAAAACCCTTCTTTTTATTTAAACAGAAAAGAGGAGATGATGGGAGATGCCATTATGTATATATGTTTCTCATACTGGTTAATAATAAAGCACTGTTGGCCAATAGGAAAGGAAGATAGGAGGGACTAGGAGACAAGGAGGAAATAGGAAGTAGGGAGGAGGGGTCAAGATGGAGAGTCTGGAGAAAGCAGTATGCCGCCGGCTCCCCGGTAAGAGAAATACATAGATCAGCAGAAATGGGTTAATAATTAAGGCAGAGCTAGCAGATAAGAAACAAGTAACCGGGCCAACAGTATTGTATCAAATACAGAGTCTCTGTGTGTTATTTGGGGCTGGCGCAGCGGCAGGACAAGACCGGGCGTCGGCGGGCAGAAAAACCATACTCGTTACATCAGATTCTATGTTAATTTGTGCAATACACTCCTAACACACATTTTATAGTGTTGGAGGTTTTGTTTCACAAAAGATAGAAAAAGAAGGCAAAGATATCCAAATAATTGAATTATTATAAAAGACTGCCATACTACCCCTGAAATCAGATTAAGGACTACTGTTTAATTGTCAAACTTTCATCCAGTAACTGATGGAAGCAGCTAACTGCTAGGCCAAGCTCCCAGAGTCCAGTAGAAGAAGGGGAGGAGCAATAAAATGAGCAAAGGGGTCAAGACCAGGATGGGGAAGCCCACAGAAACAACTGACCTGAGCTAGTGGGAGTTCACCAACTCTGGACTGACAGTGGTAGAAACTGAATAGGACCAAACTAGACTCCCTGAATGCAGATGACAGAGAATAGATTGGGTAGTATATGAAGCCATGGGCAATGGGCCCAGGATCTATCCCTATACATGAACTGGCTTTTTGGAGCCCATTCTCTATGGAGAAATACCTTGCTCAGCTTAGATGTGGGGTGGGGGGGGGGAGGGGTTTGGTCAGGCTTCAGCCAGGTAATAGGACAGACTTTTTTGACTCCCCATAGGAGGGCATACTTACTCCGAGGAGTGGATGTGGGGGTGGAGTGAAGGGAGGGTAGAGGGAAAGGGGTGAGAGGAGAGGAGAACTGGGATTGGTTTAAAAATGATATAATGTGTATTTACTTTTTAATAAAAACTGAAGAGAACCATTATGAGATCATATTTATTCAGAGAGAATGGAGGTTGTTTTCCAATTTATTTAAGAAGGAAGTCATACTGTCAAGACAAATTCAAAAGACTGGACACTCCGAGAGTGCCAAGTCTCCATGATATTTGAAATAAATGAATAGGTCAACCCAGATATCCGAATGCCATACAGTTCTGAAATGCTGTATTCACCAGAATTCTAAGCACAGCACCCCAGAGCTAGGGAGAATAAAATAAGCCATATTTTCCCTCCCTCCCTCACAAACTACAAACCCAGACCCCATCCATGAGTATCACCGCCTTTCCCTCATTCTTTCCAGCTCAAGAGGCTTCCTGAAAAGGAGCCCTAACTTCAACTTCTAAGGCATCTCATCTCCTTCACCTCCAAGGAAGGAATCCTACAGAGAGCTTTCAACCATTTCCCTCTCCTCAAGCTGCCAGACTCCTCAAGCCTATTCTTTCTGCTCCCACCACCTCAGATGACCCTTGGCCTGTCACTGTCCCAGTCCACTCTGGCAAGCCCACCCCACCTCTGTTGATGCTGGTTGGCTTCCCAGTTCTCCACCTCCATATTCTTGTGGACCTTTCTTCCACTGATGTTCAGAAAATATAAAGGGCTAAGCACAGTGTCTGTCTTGTGGTCTTTTAAAACAACTAGTTGTAGTGAGATATCCACCTGCCCCGCACCTGTTGCACTGACCACACCCATTGGGGGTGGGGACAGGGGTGGATGTGATGTGGAGGAACTAGGTCTTGGTCGGGAACCAGAACTCTCTCTTACTTCCTGGACAGAAAGCATCCTCTGGAAGCATCCTTGGGACTGGAACCTGCTGGCATTCATCTGTCTCTGTTGTAAGTTATTTCTCCCAGAATAAACATCTATTCAGCTATCTGTTTTCCCCATCCTTATTTTTCCATGATAACCAGTCTGGTGACTAGTGTTACTCTGGCCTTTATTAATTCTCCCCCATAAACCCACTCTAGGACTCTCTCAATGACCTACAGATATCTTCTTCACCCACATATCTGCAGGCTGTTTCCCTTATTCCTTAACCTGGAATTGGTTAATCCATGCATGCTTATTTACACTTCTTCCCATCTTTAACTTATAGGGCATCCTGTTATCCCAGCTCTTTCCCAGAAGGCTCAGACCAGAGTTAATCAGCATGTATTAGTGGACTGGAATTTGCAAAGTCTAAAATCCTTTTGCCTGCTACTACCTCTGGCCACCATATCTGAAAACATATGACATATAACACAGCCTATTCCCGTATCATGGCAACCTCTTCTCTGATACTGGCACATCCCCCACTTGCTGACTTCTTTGAACTATCACACATGTGACCTCTCCAGAGTAGATTTCCCTGACCACCAAAGACAAAATGGCAACATCCTACCACATCATCCATTGCCAAAGACTGCTGTATGTTAGACATACACTCCCAGCTCACCTGGATCAATGTCTCCAGCTCCTGGGGGCTCACACAGATATGATCTCTCAAGAATTCTGCCTTTTCCAAGGCGATGGTGTTCTTCTGACTGCTCTCAAAGGGCTGCTCCAATGCCCGAAAGACAAGGCCACCTGTGACGAGGTAGACCACCACAACCACAAAGATGGCAACCACTGTTTTCCACTTCATAACTGTTTGCAGGCCTCCCTGGGAGGCGCCTTCCATCCTGGCTACCACCGTGGCTCTGGAGGAAATGGAGAGGCGGGGAACCGGATGGTGCCCGTTACTGGCACTCTTGGGCTGGCACACGGGTGGAGTTGCTGCAGGCACGGCCACTGAGGAAGCAGGTAGAGAAGAGGAGAGAATTTGTTTATAAATACAAAACACTGAAGTCATCAGAAACAAAGAACAGATGTCTTCCTTCAACTGCCTTTCCAAATGTAGGGATGAAAAACTGGTTTACCAAGCCTGCAGTTGGGGAATTTGATCAGTTGTTGAGTACCTGCCTTTTGTTGTTCTTTTTTTTTTTTTTTTTTTTATGATTTCTTAAAAGTGAGCATCCATCAGGAAACCTAATTCTAAAGGGGAGGCTACCAGTGAGTTTAAAAACACTTATATTTTCCTCAAGGATCCAAACTGGAAAGCTATCTTATATTTATTTATACCTCTTCTCCTCCCTCGGCTACTATGTTCAAATGTGTACGAATCATCATATTTAAAAAAACAAACCTATTACTCAGACTGAAGAAAAGCAAGCAGAAGAGGGGCATATAGCTATTCTGTCTAAGCACAGAAGCAGAGAAGAGATGGACGTCCAGTGACTTTAAAAGCCCATCTCTGAGACTGGGAGATGGCGCAGGCAAGCATGAGGACTTGAGTTTGGATCCCCAACACCCACATAAAAAGCCAGGTGCAGCAGCCCACACCTGGGACTAGCTCTGGGGGAGTAGAAACAAGCAGATGTCTGGTTTGCTAGTCAACCATTCTATCCAATCTTTGAGTTTCTGATTCAATGAGAGATTCAGTCTCAAAATAATAATAATAATAATAATAATAATAACGTAAGGAATGGTAGGAAACACCTGACACTGACCTCTGACCTCCATTTCCATAGGCACACATATTCACATACGAAGAAATCCATGTACAAATACATACTTACAACCCTCCCTCCAAAACTGAAGAAACAGAGAGAGAGAGAGAGAGAGAGAGAGAAAGGAGAGTGAATAATTAAGAGCCTGTCATTTCACAAAATGAAGCAAAGAAGCTAATCCCAAGCTAAGGAAGAAGGGTCAAAGGTCAGGCACAGTAGAGAGGTCTGGGACTTGCCTAGATAGGTGGCTATAATTGGGGAAGGAAGAAAGAGTGATGGTTTATGTCAATTAGCCCTCTTGCCTGAAAAAATAATAAGAATAAAATAGATCCCAAGTGCATTGCCTAATAGAAAATGCAATGACTTTGGTGTAACCACTGCTGAGCTATTAGCAACGGAATTTTTTTTTCCTCCAGTTATCATCCAGTAAGAAGCCACTGGAAATGAAATTTCCCCTGGTGCTCAGAACACAGAATTTGTTAAGGTCCCCAGTTCTCTATACAGGCAATTTCATTACCTTAGCAATAAATACATTAAGCTGGCAGTTTTTCTGCCAGAGCAGGAGGTTGGAGATAGTGCCACGCACTACAGAGCTCTGTCTTGTGCAACAATGAGCAGTCGAGGCACTGAGATGTGTTCTTGCTTTTAGTATCCTGGTTCTCATTAAGCCTCTGCTAGGGCAGCACTCACACACACCCGCTGTTGTGTAAATAAGGTATTAGCATATACGTGTGCAGATAATACTGCTCCAGTGGGGCTAGACGGCTCCATCTCTACACTGGGGGTGTCAAGGTGATTCTGTCATGTGACTCTTCCTGGAAAACAGGCCTGAACCTGACCCACCTGGCTGGAAGGGTGGTTGTTTAGAAAAATCTTTGCCTATAAACATCTGCTCTCCGAGGCCCTGGAAATCAGTTTTTCTCTTTGAAACCAGGCCAACTGCCCACCTTTTACTAGATATTACTCTATTCGACAGTTATTCAATATTAAATTCTTCTTGAGCTTAACGTGAGCACAAACTTCTCCATAGTCTCCAGACTTATCTATACATTCAAATCATCCAGTTAGGAATCATGGCCTTTAACCTTCCTTGAAAGACACTGAACTCAGGTTCCCACTTGCCCTTGTTGACGCCAAGGAGACAGCTTTGTGTCTAGGACAGTTTCCTTCAGCACTGAACTTCTCATCCATTCTGCCTCTCCATCCATGGCTATAGTCTCATTAAGGCCATCAGCATGTCTTGTCTAGTAGCCTCCTAAGTCATTTCCCCATTTCCACTTGACCACTTAATCTTGAGTTAACCCTTACTCTTTGAAGTACTTCTTTCCATCCACCTCATCAGAAAAAAAAAAAAAAAAAAAAAAAAAAGCCTCCAAAGACACCTACATCTTAACCCCGGCAGCTGTGAAAACATTACCTTACATAGCATGGTTATGATTAAAGGTCCTGAAGTGAGGAGATTGTCCTAGATTGTGGGTGCCATCACAAGACCAAATGGCAGTAATACAGGTAGAGAATAAAGGCAAAAGCAGAGACTGGAATCACACAGCTGTGAGCCGAGCTATGGTCACACTAGAAAATGGTCCTCCCCTACAACCTCCCAAAAGAAACCAGCTAATTATAAATTGCTGTTTGAGGCCACTATGTTTGTGATCATTCATTTGCAGTCCCAAGAAATAAACATACTTTTTCTAGATTAGTCTCCCTGGCCCAGCACCCACTGCTTCAGGCTAACATAACATGCTTACCTCCCGGATCCCTCATTAGACTAAAAGATCTACAGAGTCAGGCATCATCTCAGCCCCCTTGCTTCTCTGTCCCCAGGGACCAGCACGGCGCCTGGCACACAATAGGCAGCCAACCAATGATGACTGGATATGGAATGGAGGAGAATTGGCACGGTGCAATCACACACACAATTCGGACAAGCACTACCAGACTAAAAATAATGGCAATGCACCAGTATGGAAAAGCAGGTCAGACACAGTAGCAGCCTGTTCTAAGCACCACACAGCAGCCCAGAATCTGTAAACTCATAACCACATGGTTCTCAGCCCTAAGCCGCCTCCTTTGTGAAATCTTTCTGGACTCCTCCGTGCGGACTCACCAGCCTGTGTCTACAATTTATCTCTCCATGAGCCTGTATATTTTTGGAGCCAGAGAGCATCACTCTTTCTTCTTTAGATAGCTGTGGTCTCTATATGTAGCCCAGGCTAGACTTACTCCGAAATCCTCCCATCTTTGCCTCTCAAATGCTAGATGAGAGGTGTGTGCCATGACCCAGCAGAAAGAAAATCTTCCAGTTCTTGGTAGAGCACCGAAGAAAGGGTGCTTGTTTCCCCTTGTTGCTATCAGTCATTGTTGGCAATGAATATTTTAAACTATGCATAATCACAACCTCAGAATTACCACAACAAGCATTAACATTAATTACCTCAACAATAAGCATTTGCTTAATACTGAATGGACCTAAGAGGCTAGGCAAGAAGCCTCCTGCCTCCTTAGATAGCTGGTTCAGTTCCCTACTTCCAGAGCTCAGCAAAATGCTAAGCAACAATATATGGTCCTGCCTCTCCCAGGCTGAACCCTGAGATATCAGACCATACTTGGATCTTTTAATTTGCTTTGTGTCCTTGGCTTCTTCCCATTTATGATAGATATAATCCAGATTCTAAGTCCTAAAATTTCAAATAAGGATGACTAAGGGAGGCCAGTCCTTGGCCATCATGACCACTTCCCACCAAGGGCAACTGAATCGTCTGATTGGCCCAAACTTATACACACACACACACACACACACACATTCCATCTCTTCTTAGTGCCCCTACCTGGAGAAAGGGACCCATGTCCTTTCACTGATATTCCTGTAAAGCTCTGAAGCAGCCAATAGTAGTCATTGTACCATACGCCAAAGAACTGGGTTCCAAAGTCTTGAGGAGGGGGTTATGTTATGATTTAAACAAATGGGTAAATTAAATATGAGAACATTAAACTTAAGGATAAATAAATAATCTTGCAGCTGGACATGAGGTAGACAAGTTAACCAGACAAGACAAAAAGACAGGATTATGAGAAAAATAAAAGCTAACAGCTAACTAGTTGTTGTTTGCATTTGGCCTTAAATGTATTAACTCTCTCTACTTTGTATATTACAAAATAAAGCAATTGGGCCTTTAAACTGTTTATGTGGTGTTATATAATATACAGTATAAAGGTAAATTGTCATGAGCTATTTAAAGCCTGGTAAAAACATCAAAAACCTGTGGCTGCACAGGTCACAGGCCCTAAGGCAGAACCTCCACTGTTATTCTACTAAATAGACATTATATTCAACTGACTCTTAAAGACTAATTGGTATAGAACAGTGCATCTCTCAACCCTATCAGAGAAGCTCCTTTTGTGGTAGATGCCATTGACATAGGGACCTACAGCTAGTCAAGGTGAGAGAATAAAAGTACAGAATGCTCAGCCCTAAATCAGAGACTACACCACATCCGCTCTTCCCAAGGCTCAGGGATCATTGTGGGAGAAGAATCACATAAGAGTGTATAGGCAGCACAAACAGAATTTGATACAAATCATTTGGGGAAAAAAGCCATAGGAATTGTGTGGGCAGAGAAGAGGTGTAGATCTTGTAGGAATTGGGAGTGAATATGATCAAATTTCAATATATATGAAATTCTCATGAAACCAATAAAAAGAAGAAGAGAGCAACTCTGGGAGCAAGGAAGCTACAAAAACTCCCTGTCCCAGTGAAGGCTGCTGTCTTACCTCTATACCAAAGAGGAAGGAAAACTGCAACCATCTAAGGGCATTATCAATACTCTGTCGGTGAGGGCAGCACAAAGGTGAACTATGAGGTTGCTGTTGTTCATCCTGTAGGATGAACTTCCCAGAAGTGGGAACAGGAAGCCAGAAGCTCATTCATAGAGAGAATACAGAGGAAGCTCTACCCAGAGCTCTGCCCTTCAGAACTCTCTGCCTGCCTCAGCTTCTCCAGCAGTCTCTTGGTCTCTGCTGGTTTCAGGTGCCTTGGTGATGTCTATCTGCTACTATTTGTTCCTTAACTCCAGAAGCCTCACAGGGCACACACTGTTCTACAGAAAACTCAATGGGAAACCCCAGCTGGTTGCCTTATAGGAGCTTCCCTGGTCAATTTTTACTGAATGTTTGTAGCCCCCGCCCCAATTTGATGATGTTACTTTTGGTTTGCTTTCTGAATCAGGCTATTCCAGTCATCTC